AAAAAACAAAAACCAATGTCGAAAGAACGAGGCTTAACTATGCGCGTATTCAGTTTATAATGAATAAGAATCTAATAATTGACGCCTCTGGGGGAAATGCAGCTTCGCTTCAGAGACGGTGTCGAAAGTCGAGTTTAATTATGGGTCGGAATCCCCTTCCCACCCATCCCGTAGATCCAAATGCTAAAAAGGTCCCCTTCAGTAAAAATAACGATTAAAAGTAAGTTACACAGAATTAACATTCTTCCCTAACTGTATTACAAGCAGCATCGTCCTCGGAAGGAAGTTGGGCAACTACTGACTTGAAGTATATGATCAAGGGGGTAGGATTCGGTTGCTGCGATGAGATGACCTTGCTACTTATAATCACAAGCTAGATAGTTAAAATACGGCCGAATAAGTAGATATCAGTTGTAGTGGACAAAGGTATGCGATTTCAAGGAAGCAATTTAAAGACTCTGAAAGCACCCACCCAAACCTAAAATAAATTTTACTCTATGGAAAGAGTATTTAATCCATGGTTTATGTAGAGCAACTAGACATTTAGGAATTTATCAAAGGAAAGCAAGTATAGAAAAGAATAAATAACAAATACAAGCAGATCAGAGGTAGCATTAAGTACGTGACAATAAAAGGTAAGTTATGAAGATTCATTAGAAGAAGAAGATTTGATGGCATAGGGGAAGTCTTGGGCACTAAGAGGTTGAAGATCACTCTCGTTTAGCTGATATAAAGGAGTAATGTGTGAAAGACGTCGGTGATTGGAATCAAACCAGGAGACAGCACAGGAATCCAGGTGCTTTACTAGCCTTATCATGGCAATACAGTCACCTTCGGCTGAATGAGCGGCATTATGCAGTTCTCCAAATACGTGTGTATATAAAGGACCGAGAGAGAATGAGGCTGGTTTGACGGGACTAGAAGTAGCTACCGGCTTGGGTTGGGGTAATGCTGCTTCCGCGACTGTAGGAGACGAAATCGTAAGCTCTTCAATTTCAGTGGATAAGTAGCCTGAGTCATTGGAGGTAACGGGGATCAACTTTTCGGGAAAAGCCTTGAAGAGGTGTAGCGTGTCGGCACACACTATTGCTTCGCCTCGACTGTCAACGAGACGGTAACCCCTTCCCTTCACACGCAATATTTCTGACTTTAAAAGCGGAAAGTCAAACCGAAATCCATTCTGCGCAATAAGGCATATTGGTGGGTCCAAACGAAGAAGAAACGATTGGATCTGTTCTACAGCCAGGACGTCAAAGTCCTTTTGATGATATAGGTTTTTGTAATTTAATCCTTAAAAAGCCGTTGTAAGTAAACACAAGGGACGGCGAAACACCTACCAGATATTTTTGCGGCGGCCTCTTGGATGTTCGCCCGAGGATGGAAACAGAGAACAAGTTTGTTCTGTACACGCGGAACATCCACTTCGTCTTCTAACGCAAACCGACTGACTGCCACGAGGGATAGTTCGGTTATATGTGGATGAAATTGGGAGCTTGGGAGTCCCGTTGTTTCGGTGTCCATAAAAACAAGAGTAGAAAGGAGCTCTGCGCGAGACATTTAGGATCTAGTAATGACGAAGAACCGCTAAGGAAGTGGTGGGCGAAGGGGACGGGATACTACAAAGAGCAAAACAGCTAAAATGTGTCAGCGCAAGTAGAGTTTTTAAAGGAGTTGGATAAATGCGCTGGTTATGATAGCATGATGGCTTAGAAACTGCAAAGTGAAAAATCGGCGGTAAGTTAGCAATGACGACAAGGTAAGGAGCTAGGAAACAAAAGATATGTAATTTTGCTAATGCATCCAAGAAGAAGGTGTGTATGGTAGTACCAATTAACTAACTAATTCGTGGCAGCCTCTCCAAGGACGGCTTCACGTGTCACTGAAGTTATTGTCCGACTGTTCAGTTTCTGCTTATCATCGGCAAATAGCTACTGACGCGGCGGGCATCTGAGTCTGACAGTCTGATAAAATAATTGAGCGTTAAAAATGTGTATGACACAAAAGAAACGTAAGAAAATAAAATCGCGACGTGTCAGTTATTAACAGGATAGCATGATCACATGCATCATGGTACAAGGCATAATCAGGGGACATCTGTGTCAACACACGTTTAATCTGCTTGCGTAGAAACACTCAGTGGATGGGGCACTGGAGAGCCGCCCTTCGGGCACATGAGTGATCTACTTAGCTAGGAAGTGAACGACGTACCAATCAACCTATGGATAAACACACAGAAATCATCATCCACGGAAAAGTGGTTCAAACAGCTACCAATTAACACCACTTGCATGCATTCTCTCCATAACTGTCACCCTAGGCAATAAATCGCTCTGTCTGTACCAATTTTACGCTCCCCCGTTTACATTCGCAGGGTCAACATCATCGGACCACATTTCCGATCCAGCAGGGGGTCATTTGGTGGACAGCCTAAAGGGCGTCTGGAGGCCCTTCCAAAATGCTGCTTTTAAAGCTATTAAATATGGCAGTTCTATGTGGCTGCTGCAGAGGAGCATGATGTGCACTAGGGATAGGTAGCTAAAAGAATGACCTGCGATAACCGAAACAAGAGCAGTTTTTACAGCGATAAAAAAACTGTGCCGTTGTTTTACCGTTTAGACTTCTCGTTTGGAGTGAGCTTGTAGATAATGATTATCTTTTCAAGATCCCGCAACTAATTATTTGCTTGCCATTTATAGACTCTACAAATATTCGGGTCTATTCTGTAAGGTGACATAAACAAATAAAACACTAAATGAACAGTACCGAGAGAAAACAAGGGAGACTGGAACGGCAATTTCTGGCTTTTAAGCCGTCATCAGCCAGTCATACCCAACCTCAAGCGGTGCATCACCCGCGGCTCGAACGCACAACCTGTTGATTAGAGTTTAACATCCTAACCCTTGAGCCACTGGATCGTTGTTTTGCCAGTTTCGATTGAGAATATTGATTGACTTGTAACGGGACTTATTTGTCCTGTTTTACTTGTTGGATCACACTTCACCAATAGCAGTTATCATTAGCGTGGGGAACCACAGTAGACGCGTCTTCGACCGCGTTCCCACCCGCCCTCACGGTGGCCAAGGTCTGC